CCTCCTTTTTTGAAGTCTGTTAAAAATAATAAATATCAGAAATAGAAGATAATAAAATTTTAAAACTCACAATCCTAAGAATAGTCAAGAAAATATTAAATTATAAAAAAATAAAATAATAATTGTTAACAGTGGCGCTCAACAAACTTTAATAAAATTCTAAAAGGTAAATAAACTTCCCATTTGCAATATTTTTTAATAAAAAAAAATATCAAAAATTTCTTGAAACATTTTTATTCCATGGGGGATATCTTTCTATGATATCCTCAATTGTCCTACGTCACACTAACCAATCCAATTTAAATAGTACAAAGTACACAGTATAGTACATAAGCGGGATAAAAACTGTTACGTATTGTAAAATGTAACACACCATTTGAAAGCTAATTTTATTAGTAATTGAATGCATATTAAAACAAAACATAATTTAATGAATTATAATTTAAATAAATATAAGAATATTGCCATTAATATTAGGATTAAATAAATCATTTTAATCGCAATCCACCAAAATGGCAAATTTATGCTTTATTGCTGAATTCTCCATAAAATTAATTAGCTCTTCAATTATATGTCATACTTTGTACTTTACTTATTGAAATTGTATTGGTTAGAGTAACGGAGTGGATGGGAATGACGTATGATAGGATATGACAGGAAGGTGTCCCCTTTGGTTTAAAAATATATCTGGTTTAAGCAATTTTTTACCTTGATTTTGAAATTGACTACCTAACGCTGTATTAGCCGAAAGATTAGCTGTTTTAAAAAAAAAAAAAAACTAAAAAAGTATCATGTCAAAATTGAAATTTACGTCTCAAGGGGTTTGGTACGACAATTAAACTATAATTTATATTGTTTACATTTTTATGATTTCTATCACTGCGAAACAAAACCTCGAAATCGAGTATCTATGATTTTTATTTTCGCCATTCAGCCACGTCTTAATTGGGTTAATAGATTCTATTTTTCGCGAAAAGCCGTGCCAAGATGACCGACCGACGGAGTCATGTCATCAGAGAGGCGTTTGCTCAAAAAATAAATTAATCATTAATCATTCAGAAAAACTTTTTACCTATGCCAATTGTTATTTACCGTTGTCGGTGGCACACTAGATAAAACATTGTGCACCGCCAAATGCGGTTTTCTAAATTTTGTTCGGCAGTGGCTACTGGGCCGATCGGTCGCCTTTTATTAAGGCAATGTAATAATTAGCATTATTAGGAGTACAAATTCTAAAAAGTATTTTTAATGTTTTAACTAGATATTCAAAATGAAAACAGACGTATTGAAATAAAGTAAACAATTAGGTTATTACTCTAGTCAATGGCTTACATTGAACCAGATAATTATCCAAGATAGTACGTTCACATTCTCTAAAAAGTTAAAAGGAACATTTGTGAAGCCCTGGCGTTTCTGCCCCTAAGAACAAGAGTTATAACTAGTTGCCAAGAATCGTTCGACTAGCTATTAAGGAACTATCTTGTTTTTTAATTTTATTTTTATTTGACACTGGTTTATAGATATTCCTTCCGGACTCCAGGGCCCTTTGGCAGATAACAGTGCTGTCTTCATTAACTTAGACCTATCAGTTGTTACATCTGGGTCTTTCGACTATTTCGTTGTTACACTTTTGCGAATAATAAATAAATAAAGCTGTAGAACTCAACATAATACAATATAAACAGAAAACTATATAACTAAATGCTAAGTACACCTTTTATGTTTCCAAAAAAGAACAGAATGTAAATTTAAGAAAAAAGAAAAAAAAATAGATATAAAAAAAATAAAAAATACAACCATCAAAAAATTATGTATATGAGTTTTGACTCACCCTGCACAAAATTGTTGGCGAATTGAAAAAAATAGTGTTTCGGCATAAAATTTGACTATTATCGAAAAATAGTGGAATGAAAAAAAAAAACACTGTTTCCAATTGTTTCTCTTGCATGATATAGGTCATTGAATTTAATCTGATCTTCGTATCCTGCGAAATACCCTGTATAGCCCCCTACTAATTTATATTTTTACAATGGGAAAAGTGAGGATAATTCAAATAGAAAATAAAATATAGGGTGATCTATTAAAAAAGACATAAGTTTGTTCCAAAGCGAAGTTAATAAACACCCTGTATATTCAAAAATAATTTTAAGATACGTAATTTATCACTGTCTACTGTTCCTTTAATGTCATTTTTCTCATATTGGACTTTCTCTCTCATAATAATAGATTACCCTGTATAATGCGCCTAGTAATTAAAAATTAATGAACGTATTTCATTTAAAAACTATTAAAAATTTGTAAAAACGAAAATAAATCAAACTCAAATGTGATAGACGTAAAATAAAATGAATAAATCTCAAAGCCAATATCACATAATTACGAGCGACCGTTTCCCTTCAGAAAACAACTACTCCTTTGGCTAATACCGCAACAGGTATTTAATTATATCCGAAGGAAAAACAGCAGAGTTAGAGATTACATTTTAACACTTTGACGACACCATTTCACTACTTGAATTCTTATTCTCTTCGTTACTAACTTTATTGTATACTGGTGAAATGTGTAGCATTTGTTAATTCCATTAGAGACTGGAATTGAGAACCTACCTATTTCTTGCTGAAGAGTCCTAATAAGGACGAAACCGGTCCAAGAATGATGTTCTTCTTAGTGAGCAAAATCAAAGGTGTTGAAATTTAATTTCTAACTTTGCTGTTTTTCCTTCGGATATAATTCAAAACCTGTTGCGGTATTAGCCAAAGGAGTAGTTGTTCCTCGACTAAAATGACAGTTTAAGCGGTTGTCAAGTAACAAAGTTAGGAAAAGACGTTATTTAAGCTATAAAAATAAGGTCAAATACAATAAAAGAAGAAAGGTCAAGGTTGAAAGGTTGACATGTTGACAGACGACAGTAGAACTATTTTGTTTACATTGTTTTGTAAGTTAAAAATATACAAAATAATTCAATTTTATATATCTTTCCATTAATTTTGATTTTATTCTGTTTATTATTACTTTTACAAGTATCAACACAAAATTGACATGTCAGAGAACAGATGCTTATCTTTACAAGAACTTAATCTTAGTGATTACTCTGGAAAATATAAGAAATGAAGCTACAGACGTATAACGTCATAACTGGAATAGTAGTGACGTTTTAATTTTTTTATCGAAAAAATGAACATGTTCCAGCAAATGTTTCTTACTTATCCAATAAAGCCAGAAATAAGCTGTACAACAATAGTGTTGCAAACTTCAATCAAATGATTTAGAATTCCCATGAGGCAATTAATGGCGCTATTATATATTTAAATCAACTAAATCTTTAAAACAGGCTGTTAAAGAATTTAAGTCAAAAATATGATTTTGAGTTAAATATTTATATAGGTTATGCAAAATCTTTAGTTTTAAAGGTGTAGAAAGCTGGCTGTGAACGTTAAATTTGGGGTTATGGTTTGTTTAATTACATGATAAAAATTATATTATTAAAAATGGATTTATTTACTTATTAGCGGAAGAAGATGATAATAGGTACCTAAACTAACAGAAATGGTACACATATTTTAAATTATAATACAAATCGTTTTTACAGAAATAATATAAGAATTGAGAGAAGAATGCTAAGAGACCATGAAAATCCTTTTGAGATGCCTGATCCAAAATTTTTGAAAATATTTCGTTTATCAAAACAAATGATAAGGAATGAAATCATTGATCGACTCCAAGTGCATAATAGACATCCAAGGCGAAGGGATTCAATTCCATTCTATTTACAAGTTTTAGCGACGATAAACTTCTTTGCTAATGGATCTGATTAGAGAGCAATCGGCAATTCTTTATTTACTTGTATGAGTCAAACATCTATAACTTTGGCCATCAATGAAGTAAGTCGTTTAATAACTCTTCACTTAGCACGAAACTGGATTAAATTTCCTACAAATCTGGAAGAAAAAATGCGGTTTAAGAAGGATTTTATAGCAAATGGGGTATGCGAGGAATCATCGGTGCCATCGATGGCACTCATGTTGAAATTATAGCTCCTCCTGTTATAGATCATGAACACCAACCTCATTTATATATCAACAGAAAAGTAATGTAATGTTAATTTGTTATTTAAATTGCTACATTACTGCACTAAATGCTAGATTTCCTAGTTCTGTTCATGATGCGGCTATCTGGCAAACATCAAATGTTACACAAATTTTAGCAGACCAGTTTGAAAAATGGCAAAGGAGACAATGGTTATGGTGTTGAACCATAGTTGTTAATTCCTTTTGAAAATGCAGATGATGATACTCCAGAGGGCTTTGAAAAGTTTTCGGAATGTAGTGGAGCGCACAAATGCTATATTGAAAGCAAAATTTAGATGCCTGTCCAAATTTCGTGTACTTCAATATCAATTTACAATGGCTGCATTCATTATATATTCTTGTGGGATATTACATAATATGTCGAGGAAAGAAAATATGGATATTGAAAATAAAGAATATTTAGAAGAAGAAGATTATGAACATTGAAATAATTTCGATAATATAGCAGCTCATCAAGGGCAAGCAGCAAGAGCAGTTTATATTGACAAAATTATTAAAATGTCTAAAATAAAAAAAAATATGAGAAAAATGTTTTATTTTAAAAATCTTTCCTTTTATAATTTATTTACTACAACTATTTGTATTTAAATTCAAATTGAAAATCCTTATTTTTATTTTTAAATGCAGCAACCTTGAATTTAAATAATTCCTTTTGAGAATCAGTCAGTTCTTTTATAGCATCCACCAATTTTTCTTGGGGAACAATATTTTCTTTGAGTTGCTCTAATAAAGCTTCCATTAGATAATTTAAAATTCTTGGATTGATTAATTTCTCAACGTTTTTGTAGAGATCTCTTGATTACTGATGTCTCAGGTATAACTGGTTGTTGGACATTGTTTTCTAATAGAATTTCTCATAGAAGTCTCTTTTTTTGTTGGTGTTTCAGGTACAATTGGTGCTTGGGCATTGTCTTATAACACAATTTCTATATTTTTAAAGTTGAAGTCTTCCAATATATTTTCATGAAATGAGTGTGCCTTTGTTGGAGTTTTTTGAATTATGTCACCATACAATTCTGGCACAAGAGAACTACCTTCAACAACAACTTTTCCCCAAGCATTAATTGCTCGTTTCTCAAGATTAGTCAATGCATTTTTCACTTCTGGTCCTTCTCCCGTTTTATTTTTCTTTACCAGATATTTTCGATATTTGAATCTAGTACCATATTTCCAATCAGAGAATCTCTGAAATAATTAAAACGAAATAAAAATGTAAGAACAAAATATATAAAAATTTACTTGAATCCATTTATCAGTAGTTAATTGTGGACCCTTTGATTTAGAGTTTAATTTAATGGTCAATTCTTTCCACTTTTGTTTGATATAATTTTCGGATACAGTAGGATTAATGGTTCTAGTTCTAAATAGTTTTCATATTCTAAAAACTTTATGTATTCTTCATACTGTTCCACAGCAGTATTTGCTCCACGTTGTTTTTTCGCTTTGGAAATGACACTGTAATCAAGATATATATTTTAAATTGATAAAAATACTGTGATATAAAAGTTATTATTAAACAAATGATTTATAGAACATACCCAGACGTGTTTTTTGAGAAAAACAAACCCTTTAGAATAATATCACCACAAAATAACACATATAACCTTAAAAAGTGGAAAAATGGAATAAAAAAGAAGAATTGATTTTAAATACGTTTGACCACAATCGTAATTTCTTAAATAATTTAAAACTCCTATTTAAATTTCCATTTAGTGCTTAAATCTTTAATATTTACATGTCTGGGCTATAATAGCGCTATAAGTTTGTTTTTAATTTGAACCCTGTTTAGGTAGTTATTTTTGTATATTCAAGAATAAACCTATTTTTATCAGTATTAAGATTCAATTACCTTCGACAAACAATGAACTAAAAACTTCGTGTTTTTTTAGTCGCCCTGTATATGGATATGTCAGTAACAATAAGTGGCCACACCTAAAGGACTATATCTAATTATCGGCACTTATTGAGTTCTCACAATGAATATGAGTTAATATTTATGGCTTTGACATTATGACCTCGTTCTAACCAACTGTAACAATTTTATTCTGTTTTCCTGAAAATCGACATTCAGTGTATTTTAGAAGTCTGGTACAAGAAGTCAAGGTAAATCGATTTGTTTTAGAAGAAATTATTTATATTGTTTGGTAATGAAATCATAAAGGGGTGGAAAAATAATTTTTAGACGAAAAAACTACCCCATTTACTTAGGAAAAATTAATATAAAATTAAAAAAAGAAGGGAAGTTTTGAATTAAAAACAACCCAACAATGGGGTGACAATTAAAAAAAATAACTTTAACTAGTTACTTAAATTAACATAAATGTGATCAATTTTTATTGAAGTGTAGTTTTTAAAATATTGTTTTTTATAATTAGGTACAGTTCTCAGAAAAATAAATTAACTTCAGCGTTCCTCAAGGATCCAATCTTGGTCGTTTCTTATTTTTTACTCTACATCAATGATATGGTAAATGTAAGTAATCTCTTGCAATAAATACCTTTCATATGCTTATGATTTAAAAATATTTACGTCTGTCTCTAATTTGGATGACTGAAACACTTTAATTAGACATTGACAATATTCTCGAATATCAACAAATTTCTAAAACTGCCGAAAAAAATTCACTTGAGTTTGATTTTGAATTTATTTTTTTGAAACTTCTAGTATAATAATAATACCCTCCCTAATTCATCCCCTAATATTTTAGTGGTAATGAAATAATAAAATTTCAAGGTTTTTATTGGTAAAATTATTTTTGATTGTGTGGAAACAGTTTTATAAAACGTTTGATTATTAAAAATTATCTTTAAAACTATGATTTTTTTCACCACGTAGAACTTCTGCACGTAGGCTTTTTTTGGCATTGCATGTTCAGCAAAGGGAGTAGAGCTGTAACAATTAACTCATCAAAAGACCCATTAGGTCTCTAACTACTGTTATTAATATTCTATTAAGGGATGAAGGCAGCACCAGTTGCAAAAAAAACTTAATAATAACAAATTTATCTCTTAATAGCGTAGTCAAGCGCCTTTGGCAACTAGATATCGACTCTTCTAATCCTTAGGGGTAGAAACGCCGAGGCTTCACAAATACTCGGAATATTTCATAAGTGGTTCTGTAAAGGGAAATATTTATATTTAAAATAATTTCAAAATGAGTAGTAGTCTCAACAATAAATAATCAATCTATATTCAGGGAATAAATGTTGATAAATATAAGATATAAAACTTGGAACGAAAATGATAAAATTGACATTTATATGAAAATCAATAAATTAATTATATAAAAACAAAACAAGACCAAGCAACACACATGTTAACATAATTTAAAGATATTTACCTCTGGCACACTAATCTGCACAAACTTTACTATACACCTTAAGGTACTTTGAGAGTAAATACTGAAGAGGTCTAATGGCCAGAGTTTCGGACCGCAGTCCTTACTCAAGTCTTCTCTGTCAACTAGGGACAGTCTATTTAAACCCAAAATTTACGTGACATTTTTACTTTTTAGAATGTCAACGTACTACCTTGGATAATTCTCTAGTTCAATGTAATCCATTGACTAGAGTAATAACCTAATTGTTTGGCTTATTTCCATACGTTTTTTTTTTTGAATAATTATTTAAAACATTAAAAAATACTTTTTAGAATTTTTTTATAATTCTTTATATTTTACCACTAATAATGCCAACTATTACAGTTTTCTATTTTATTTTGGAAGTATTTTTCATGTTTTTAAACATTTTTGGGTTTATTATTATATAAAATCTGTTTTCCAATTTTTTATGAAGTCTTATTGTATAAAATGGGTCCTATTCAGTTGATAATTTGTAATTCTAATTCAAAAATTATGAAAATCTTTATAACTGAGGTCCCCTACGTATGAGGCATATCTTATGAAGTTTTTTTTATGCACTATAACAAGGGGATACTGATTTCACTAGATAATAATGTTTGTCAACTGTGATACCAAACATTTTATCAATACTGCCGTCGGTCTTAAACGTCAAATAAAAAGTTTATTAAATCTGCGTTGAAAGATTTTAATTAAGTGGGTATTTAAAAGTGATAAGTAAATATATTAAAGTAAATGTGAATTTTACGTAAATAACATACAGGATAGTGAAGTAAGTTGAAATAAGTATCATTTTGGTATAAGTTTTGGCGAATCACAGAAAGAAACTCAAATCTGAATTTAATATTAGGATCAAATATTATTTAAGGGACAAATGGTCCAAATATTATATCATGGGTCCAAATGTTTTAATAAATGCATGCTTAAAAGTTAAAGGGACAAAATATTTTTACAGGTGCGGACAGAAGAGGTAAAAGAGCTAAATATTTTTACATGGGCAGGCTTAAGGAACAAAGAGACCAATTATTTTTACTTGGACAGACTTAGGGATTAAAAGGCCCATATATTTTTACATGGGCATGTTTATGGGATAAAAAGAACAAATATTTTTATAGATCTCAGTCCAGATAAGGTGGGAACCACCGATTTATTGTCCCTCAAATTTTTCTTAAACCTTTGGTCTTTTTGTTTAAGGCCTTATCTAACCATAATTTTTGACTACCTATTTAAATTAAGATTTTTCGGGATATACCGACATAATTATGGGAAAATTCTCAACATATTTCCTATGGTAATAGGTCAGTTTATACGAGGTCGAAACGAAATTTCAACGATTTTTTCCGAGAAAAGCGCTAATATTTGTTTTAAATCCATCGACTTCGACGCCGAAGATTTATAGGTTTTCGATAATAAATAAAGGCGAAATTTTTTCAATTCCCCAACCGCAGGTCCGCAGCTAGGCCTGTAACTGTAAATCTGTCTGGCCGCGCGTCTACGAGCTCGATAACAACGTGCTCTTCATAAATTAATCATGACAGCGAGGATTCTTCAGATGTTTCGGAGCTGACTGCGATGCATTTTGACGATTCCCCATGTCGGTTTTCAATTGTTATTAAAAATCGTTTTGCGAGAGAGAAAAAGTGGCTGCAAAAGACGTATTCGATGTGTACGGGATTGAATTGATACAGTAAATAGGTATGTCAATATTATATTGATATGGCCAACTTTAATTGTCATTGTCAAAATTTAAATTTAATTTAGCAAATCTGGGGCAATTTGAAATCTAGAAAATTAAATGGAATATACAGGGTGTCCTTTAAAATGTGTCCCAAAATTCTCAGGCAGATTCCTTAACCAAAAAATGGAAAAAAAGTTCCTATAGACCTATGTCCTAAAGTGCCCCCTAAGCGAGCAACAGCCTCTCAAAATCATTTTTTTTATTTTGATTTTTTGAATTTTCTTAAAAATGGAAACAAATAAAAGAACCAAATTTTGGCTGTTAAATATGATCAATAATAGTGACCTTTTGACACCTTCAAAAAGAAATTATTTCGTCAGGGGTGTACTTGGGAATTTTTTGAAAATTTTGATTATTCATAACTTTTTTGTGTTTTTGGTAATGACTTATCCATATTTTTTTTTACATTCTGCATTGAAAACTACGTCAAAAAGGAATACTTGTTTGATCTCGATTGGAGCAGCCGTTTCCGAGAAAACATCATCCAAAGATATTCGTGCAGTTTAGGTTAATTTTCAATTTTGGCTGTTGTAGCCAAAAAGTTGGAAATCGAGGAACACGGCTTACATGTCCCTATCCTTACTTTTGAAGGTCTATTCAGTGGCAAAAAATATTAGTTGATACAGGGTGATCAAAAATCGGATGTGATTTTGGATTTTTGATCACCCTGTATCAAATAATATGTATTTTATGTCACTGAATAGACCTTAAAAAGTTAGGATAGGGACTGTAAGCCGTTTTCCTCGATTTCCAACTGTTTGGCTACAACAGCCACCTGAATTTGAAAAAATGTGATTTTTGAGTAGCTGTAGATCCTTTACTATTCATATTAGATAACAAGTGTGATATATCATTGAAATCAGATTATCGAGCAGATTCTAAAAATATAAAAATATACAGGGTGTTCCATTTAAAAAACATAACTTTGATTTGGCACGGCCTTATGAAACACCCTGTCACATCGTAACTAATTTTAAAATGTGAAGCTTAAAGCTGCCTATTTTTATTATAACAGATCTACAGAGCTTCCTCACACTAATCAATTACCCTGTATACTATTTTTAGCTCTCTAAATAAAATTTAAAAATTTAGTTCCCATTTATTTATTATGAAGACCATAAGGTTTGTATTTAGCTGTTTAGAATAAAAAAGTAAAAATATGTATTTTTTTGGCGTTTTTGTGTTTCATGGATAATTTTTTTCGCTCACTGATAAAAATGTTTCTTCAGTTAAACATTATTTCTAAAAGTGTTCTGGTGCGATTC